CAGGTGGGCCCAGGACCGGCCTATGGTTTTGCTCCGTCAGATTGAAGACCATGAGGCAGGAATGGCCAACTCGTATTCCAGAATGACCGCTCGAGAGCCATACCTGGAAACACAGCCGTTCTTTCTGCTGTGTCATTGGGGTCCCTCCGGCCTCTGGGCTGGAGTCTCATTTCACCACACAGTAAACACACACCCTCTGGGTTTCTTTCAAGTTTCTGTTGTAATCAGTTTTTTGTGCCTCTTTCAACATTTATCGCCTGACTTGGGTCAATGGACTTTCGTTCCCCATCCTGGGTTGCACCTAATTTCCTTTGCCACTTGACTGGATTCCACTAATGTCCTTGCTGCCTGAATGGGTTCTGCATGCCTTCCACATTTTTCCTGTCTGACTCTTGGCCACATGTCTGGAGCCACTTTACAAACAAATTGCAATTCCCCACTAGTTGGCATGGGTGTACCAAGTGGTAAAAAAAAAAACTAAGCAAACCAGTTCTGAGCAAAAGAAAGGACTAGTTCCCACAGTTTGGTCTCCCAGGGGCGCTCCTGCTTTAGGTACAGCTGGACGCAGGAGCCCATGGGCACCATTCCTCTGGACGCTGCTTCCTTCTGCTTGCTGCCTTCCGGGCTGCTGAGGATGGAGTGGCTGATGGCTGACAGCTCTTGGCTTCAAGTGCACTTTTTCCAGAGTTGTGTTTTCATTCTTCTCAGCATCTCCTGTGTGGTCATATAAGTTTGGGCAATACTATTTTAGATGACGTTAAAGAGATCATTCCAGGACTTCATAGCCAGTAAGAGGTACACGTACAACGTGGATCTCTACGAGGAGCACAGAAGAGCCAGCGTGCCCACGTCCCCTCGTTAAGGCAGCATCCTCACCACAGAGCAACTCATGGAGTTAGTTTTCCTTAAAATACATCTCGGGACTCACTGACCTACCCTTGGTGGCTCGTGACCATTTATACCCTGAATTTGGGGCGGAAAGACAAGTTGAAACTAAGTGGTTTTATATCTAGACAGGCTTCGCAGTGTCCCAAAGACCCAGAAGTGAAGGAGACCTGGCTGGCTTTCTGAGGGCGGGGACGGCTCTGGTTTCTGACATGCGGGCAGCTCGGGGGACACTGAGGCCGCTCTACCCAGCATGGGCTTCCCGGGGTGTCACTGCCAATTCATCGCATCACCAGTCGCCCCTCTCCCACTCTTCTGTGGGGCAGATCGTTGACATCTACCTTCCAGGGCCAGCTCGGTTATGGTTACAAGGATAAGCCTCATGATGCTCTGGTCCTGAGCGGGAAGAGTCAGGTGTGTGATCAGTGCCCGGGCCCCACTGGAATAATATCCTGGTGTTGAAAGGCCACAGAGGAAGAGCAGGTACAATTTCAAAGCAAAAAAATCTGGGGATGGATTCACGGGCACCTGTTACCAACTTCCGACCTGCCTCCTCACCAGCCACACACCTCTCCCACCAATCCTTCTTCATCAGAGTACAGGAATTTTTCATGCATTAGATTCCTAATTGCAGAGCCGGTGCAATGAAAGACTCGGGGTTTTCATTTAATCGTGCGAGCAGATTTGAGGCCTTTTCCATCTGTTATGTCAAGCTTTTCTCAGCCTAGGTGGCATCATACACGTGTCACCCCTAAGGAAACTGAGGCACAGAGTTGTGATTTGTGAAAGAATGAAGTGGTGAGAGACCTGGGCTCTGAATCCAGTGCTGGTGGTGAGTTTGCATCAGAACGTGCCCCATCTCTCCTCTGCACATGAATTCAGTCAGGAGGTGTTTAGTAAGCACCTACTATGTGCCTAGAGATGGAGGAGAGGTGACTCACAAGGCGAGGTTGACCTCGCTGCAGCGTCACCCTGCAGGTGCTGGCAGGGGAAGAGGTGGGCTGGGGTCAGGTAGCGTTTCACCCCCAGCTCTGCCCTACCTTTGCAGAGTGACCTTGGACAATGATTCTCACAGCCTCAGTTTCCTCATTATGAGGCAAGGCCACCTCTGAATATACAGGACAGTTGGGGAGAATTCGTGCAAATGTTGGCTGGTTGGCACATGGCAGATGCTCCGTGATTTGCCTTGTTGTGAAAGGCGTGACCCAGGCCAGAGGAGCACATGTTCTGAAATCGATAGACAGTTCTGCATTTTAAACCCAAAGCAACATTGGCTGGAAAGCACTGGTCAGGATCCTTATTCTTTCAGCCTTGATTTCTTCCTCTGTTAAGTGGGGAGGATAATAGGTGCCTTGCAGGAATGATCTGGGGACTGGAGAGAGATGTATAATATATGCAAAGTGCCCTGCGCTATGCCTGACACCTGAGAGGCACTGAGCTGCCATCCCCGGGCAGCCTCTGCGTAGATTTGGAAGATAGGGCGGGCCTTTCCATAGGGAAAAAACTAGAAAATGGTGTGAGTGTGTAGAAATGAATCCAAATGTGTGAGATTGGGAATTCAGAGTTCAGGGAAGTGAGGGTGGGCTTGGGGATTTGGAGAAGGTCTCGAAAGAGGATTTGGAACCAAATGGAGGCCAGACCAAAGCAGTGGAATCACATGCGTGACGTTTGCTAAGACCCGGGAACCTGGGACCTCCTGGTCGCTGTGACTTCACAATACAGCGCCTCTGAGCCCTCAGGCTTCCTGCCTTTATCCTTCTACTTGGGGCCCAGGCACACATTTTCCCCTCATTTCTGTGGGACCCTCCCGGTGGGCTTTTGGAAGCCAAATAGGAGTGCTGGAGGGAAAGGCGATGAAAAGAGATTTTCACTAAGCCTCTGTCATCCTGCCTGCCCCTCAGAGCTCAGGGAGGCACCTTATACTAGTAAGCTGCTGGAATGAACTAGAACTTCTGAGTTATTGGGGTGGGCCTCACCCACCCGGCATTTCCGAGGCAAGGCACGGGTGGAGGCCTGAGTGGTGGGTACAGTGGCTAAGTCAGCGCTTTGCTGTCAGACAGAACAGGAGTAGTTGCTGCCTCACCATGCCTGCTGTATGAAGTTGAACCTGGTGCCTCACCCCGTAAGCCTTGGCTTCCTCCCGGGAAGTGAGCCGTGCCGTGTGCCTGTGTGCACTGAAGATTACCATAAGGAATGCTGCCTGGCCTAGCAGGTTTGGCTCAGTGGGCGGAGTGTTGGCCTGCTGACCAAAGGGTCCCAGGTTCGATTCCGGTCAAGGGCACGTACCTCGGTTGCAGGCTCCTTCCTGGCCCAGGCCCTGGTCAGGGCTTGTGCAGGAGGCAACCAATCAGTGTGTTTCTCTCACATTGATGTTTCTCTCTGTCTTTCCCTCTCTCTTCCACTCTCTCTAAAAAAAAGGCAATGGAAAAATATCCTCGGGTGAGGATAAAAAATAAATAAAATTAAGGAACAATTCTCAAAAAAAAGGAATGCTGCCTGGCATCACAGGAAAGGGGTTGACTTCAGAGTCATAACGGCCAATCCCGGTCCTGCTCCACCGCTGACTAGTGGTCCGGCCTTTCTGAGCCTCAGTTTCTCTACCTGTACAACAGGAAACGGTAGTGTTTGCTTTTATTCTCTCTAGATCAAGCAGAGCAGGGTTGGAGGCTTTTTTATAGCCCCATGAGTTTAAATCACCTGCGATGTACCTGCCACCCTGCA